AGCCGCATGGATCATGGAGGTACGAGCGACCTCCATGACTAGACCAATGCGGCGCTCAACAACCTCATTATGCTGCGGAGAGGCCGGGAGAGTGAATGTCTGGCGGATGCCGTGCTCCGCACAGTAGGCTGCCAAGAGGTCAGAGGAAAACTCACCACCTCTGTCAGAGTGCAGACGCAGGACGGGAAAGTCCGGCTGGAACCGCTTGCGGAGCTGGAGACGAGCAGCACGGATCCAGGGGATCAAGACATCAGGGACCTCACCCTTGGTACGCAAGGGGAAGACTGTGGTGTAGCGCGTGTAGTCGTCGACGACCAGCAGAAAGTACCGCTCGTGGCCCTGTCCCCAGACGCGGGCTGGGCCCCACACGTCCATGTGGAGAGTCTGCAGGGGAGCCTCTGTGGGAGGGAACGAGGAGGAGTGAGGAGCAGCGCGCTGCCGCCCCTCGACACAAGGAAGAAAGGGAGGAGCAGCGACGGTGGGAGGGGAGGGAGAACCCTGGGAAGACCAGACACAAGGTACCGGGAGTGCATGCCGCGAAGGCGCTGCACTGACGGGTGACCAAGGCGGTGGTGCCAGAGGACAGTCCGGTGCGACAGGGAGCGACACGAGCAGGGGGCCGACAGCTGACCTGACGCAGACGCAGATGCAACTACCTGAACGGACTCAGTGGTCAGTGTGTACAAGTCCGACCCCGGCTGCCGAGTGAAGGTAGCCATGTGAGGACCCGTCTGGGCACACGTGCAGTGCGTCACACGCTCTTAGGCAGGGGTGAACTAGTGAACACCCGCGTCCTGGAGCGCGGAATCCGCCACCAAGTTTGTAGAGAACGAGGGGAGGTAAAGGCTCGACAGCGTGCCAGACGGGACAGCAGGACAGGGGAGGGCAGTGGTGGAGGTCGCAAGGACCGGACCCCCTGAGGGGTCAGCCAGGGAGACAGCAACTGGTCTAGGAAGCTGCTCTAGGGCAGTGCGGTTGTAAAAGAAACAGCGGGAAGCACATGAGTCCAGTGTGAAGGTGTGCAGTGCCTCAGTAGACACGGTACCAGCAGACGCAGACGCACTAGTACCTAGAGCAACAGCCTCACCAGGACCTAGGGCAGCAGACGCACGAGCACCTAGAGCTGCAGCCTCACTGGTCCCAATACCCGGGTCGGGCGGTATACTCAGGTAACAGTCACCCTCAACACTAATAGTCAATGCATACATAGCAGCAAGGATAGCATCATAATCAAGAGTAAAGATATCAATTCCTTTCTTTAGCAGATCAGCCCAGCGAGGCAGCTCAGAGGCGTCAGGAAACTGCTCGCGCCAGGCGTCGTCAAGGCGAAAGAAACAGCGTTGCGCCGTGTGAGACCTCCCACAGGTCTGGCCAGTGTGGTCACCTATGCGGATGACGTACGGGCAGGTACCTCCACCCCCAGACCCCCCACGCTGAGAGTACCACTCACAGAGCTGCTGGGGCGACTGGGGCTCGCTGGGACGCTGCTGCTGCTGCCTCTGCCCCCCGCCAAACCAGCCATGCTGCACTGCTCCACCGCGCCCGCCACCAGCTCCACCGCCGCCGCCACTGCCACCACCACCCCCGCCACCTCCACCACCGCCGCAACCACCACCCCCGGCTCCACCACTGACCCCCCACCACCAGCACCACTCCCACCACCGCCGCCACCGTCGCCGCCCCCTCCACCCCCTCCACCACCACCTCCCCCACCGCCACCTCCGCCACCCCGGCCCCCCTTGCCCCTGCCGCCCTTGCGCCTCCCACTGAGAGCGAACGCAGCTCCGGCCCCCTCAGCACCAAGGAAGTCGACAGCAGCAGCAGATGCAATGGAGGGGAGAAGGGGGGAGGGGGAACATCCCTCAAAGAAGGGAGTGCAAGGGTCGCCACGAGAGGCACCTACAGCTACAATGCTCTTCTCAGCTGCAAGGAGTTCCTTCTCGAGCAGGTCGACAGTGAGATCGGTGGGTGAGAGAGCGAGAAAGTTGTCCCTGACAGAGCGAAGAGAGCCAGGGAGGTGAGTGACGAGGTAGTAGAGGGTGAGGTACATCGGGGGAGGGTTCTTGGCTAGGAAGTCGGGGGGGAGCGCGGCACGGTAGCGGAGATCACTAGTACGAAGGTGAGTGATGAGGTCAGCTACAGTGGCGAAGGCAGACAGATCCGGGAAGAGATAGGGCAGCGAGAGACGGCCTATCGCAGCAGTAGCAGGGGAGGAGTAGCGGGCAACTACAGCATCATACAGCTCCTTAGCGGTCTTATGCTGGCCGAAGTGCTCGCGCTCATCTAACGGCAGGTGGCTGCAAACGGCTAGGCGAGCATGGGCATCACGAGTCTACCACTGTGAACGAGCAGTACTGTCAGCCGTAGCAGCGGGTGCGGGAGCAGCGTCGGACGTGTGGTCATACAGGGAAACGTTGTCCTTGGCAGTGATCTGGAGGAACAGGTGCAGGTCATCGAGCCAGACATCAAACTTAATCGGTCGGCCCTCAGCGTCAAAGGTGAGAACAGTAAGACTGGCCATAGTGGCAGTAGCAGTAGTAGCAGTAGCAGGAACAGGAACAGTAGTTGCTGCAGGTGGGGCGGCGCGGCTCGGTCAGGGCGGCGCGATTCGGGCGGCGCGACTCGGGCGGCGAAGCTCGGGCAGGGCGGCGCGGCGCGGCTCGGACTAGGCTACGCGGCACGGCGCAACGGTGGGCCTGCGCTTGTGCGTGGGCTGCAGTCGCGCGCGGGCGCCTGCCTACAAGGGCGACGCGGCAGCCTACGGGCGGGGCTGCGACGCTCTGGACGGCCAGAAGGGCCGGTTGATGGGCGGGTAGCGGGCTGCTCGTGGGCGGCGCTGGTCATGCGGGCAGCTAACGGTCGGCACACGCGCAGAAGAGGCCGCGCGCGGGCTGCTAGCGGGCTACGCGCGCTAAAAAAAAAAAAAAAAAAAAAAAAAAAAAAGGAGGCCGCGCGCGGCACTGGCGAGTTGCGCACGGGCAGCAGGAGAAGGAGAGGCGCACGAGGGCGCACTAGGAGAGAGGCGCTCGAGGGCACTAAGTCATTAAGGCGCTCGAGGGCGCTTCTAGCGGAAGGTGGGCCCTAGGTAAGCGATCCTAGGTCTAAACCTACGCTCTTGATACCATGTTAGAATCAAGAAGTGATGAAACAGAAACAGTTGGGAGTACAAGTATGAAACCCTAGAGAAATGTACCCCCTAAAGGCTAACCCACTATAGCCTACACAGCAGTAACATATATAATGTTTGACCCAGCCTCCCCACTGCTTGGTCCTTTTCCTTACACTGGGCCGACCGGAGGCCTTGCTGAGCGTCGTGAGCCTGCGTCTCGTCATGCGTCGCCTGTTTGCGCTGCTCGCACTAGTCGTCGTGTTCCGCGTCCGCGTCCTCCTCCTGTCCCCGGCACGCACCAGATGGCACTTCGTCCTTCCTCTGTTCCACTACGTGTCTCTCTGCCGTCTCCTCCTGCGTCCTCCCTTGCTGACGGTCCGGACCCGGAGTCCGACTCCCTTCGTGTTGCTAGTCCTACTGTCACGCGTATCCTGGCCACTGTTGTCACTGACCCTTCCTTTGAGTCCACTGCTTCATCTGCCTTAGTTGCTGAGCTGGTCGACTTTGCTGCTCGCTGTTGTCTAGACTACGCCGCTAGCCTTGTTGCTGAGTCTGAGTCTGTCTGTCCTCTGTCCGTCGGGGGTGAGTGTGCTCTTGGCACGGATGTCCTTGAGTAAAGGCAGGAGGACTTTGAGTGCTTTGCAGCCGCTGTACCTCATCTCGTGTCCATGCTGATTGCACCTGAGGGAGACCCGGATGCACCAGACATCCCGACCCCGCGTTCTTTCGCAGAGGCGATAGAGGGTCCCTACTCCTCTCAGTGGCAGACAGCCATGGACGCAGAGATGGCATCCTAGAAGTCCACAGGCATTTACGTCGACGAGGTTCCCCCTCCTTGGGCAAACATTGTCGATGGCATGTGGATTTTCAGGGTGAAGCGGCCGCCGGGTTCTTCGCCTGTCTTCAAGGTGTCAGAGACTAAGGACGAGGTCTAAGAAGATTAGGAGCCTAAATATCTCAAAATCGTTGGTCTCAATTTCTGGACAGAATAGTCGCGCTCACAAGAAACGCCGTCTACAAAAAACGCGCTGTCAAAACTTCACCAGCTTTTTTTAATGTTGTAGCCCTAGTCCGTGGCTACAATTCCCAAGTTGAATCGTACAAAAAGGTGAAGTATTTCTTGAGTGATGAATTTCGAAGCACTAGGGGGTATGCTGCCATAGAATATTAACTCAATCACAAAGTTCACACAATTACCACACAACGAAGTTAGAGTAGCAATGAACCAGGTGGGAGGGGATGAGGAGGACGAGAGGGAAGGTCCCAAGAGAGTCCCCAACCAAGGAAACCCCATGCCACACTACACATGATGCCCGACCAGTGCACGCGAAATTGCCATGCACCGGATGGAAACGCTGCCCCCGAGCTGGAAACCCCTGCTTGCTGCTCCCACAGTACAAGCACATGGGTGGCTGGCAACAGTACACGCGACTCGGCCATCAATGCACGTGCAGTCCCGAACAAGCCATGCCGACCCACTGTTGCCTTGTTTCTAGGCCAGCAGTCGGAGAGGCAAAATGACTAGACGAAACGACTATGGTTTCGTGAACGCATTCACCCATCTAGGCCGCCACATAAGCAAGGATCATCGTGCGTGTAACAGGCATTTGGTCAGATACACGCTGCCACGTGTAATTCGGGACTTGCAAGGTACAAGCGCATTACCAGCCAGACGTGCTTCGCCCACCCCACGTCAGACATTCGAGGGTGTGGTTACCAAACCACACGATAAAAAATGCAAGCCATGTGCATGGAACGAACACCAACCACACAAATGTGACATGCAACAAAGAACAGGCCCCAGCTTTGCCCAGCACGCCCGACCTGTGACGATAAAAATCGAACAACTAATTCACTAAGTCAGCATTCTCTCACACCCCAGCCGCTCACAATGCCCCGCTTTAATCGACGGGAGCAGCTCCCGCTCCATATCAAGCGTGCTATTTGCGCGCACCACGTCGACAACCCCCGCCTGCGTCATGTTGACCTGGCGAGGTGGTGCTACACGCAGTACGGATTGCGCCCGGATCGCTCCACTGTCGGCCGCATATTGAAGCTCGCCGAGCGATGGGCTGTCACGGCAACCGGCGACAACCAAGTGCGCCGTCGAGGTGGCGCATGGCCTGAGCTGGTGCAGGCCATGGCGCGGTGGATTGTAAACGCAGGGCCCGCTGGCGTGCCTCTGACGCTGCAGACCATTCGCGACCATGTCGCGACGATGTCCCGGAACATGGGCATTCCGCCCTCATTCCGCTGCTCCATCGGCTGGGTGCGCCGTGCTTTGAGGCGCCAGGGAGTGAGGTGCCGTGCAGCACAAGGCGAGGCAGCTAGCGCGGACATGGCCGCCGTGCGCCACGCACGTGAGAAGCTGCCGCAACTCCTCACGCATCTCGGTGTCACCCCGCGGGACACTTTCAAACTCGATGAGACGGCGCTCTGGCTGTCAGTCCTCCCTCGGCGCTCTTACAGCAACGGCCGCATTCCCGGCCGCAAAGTATCGAAGGAGCGGCTCACCGTGGCATTCCTCGTGAATGCTGACGGGAGCCACGTATTCCGATCGCTCGTGATCAGTAAGGCGAAGCGGCCGCATGACTTTCGTCCGGATTATGACCCTGAATCCCTTTGCTACTGGCGGCACAACGCGAAAGGCTGGATGACCTCGCCGGTAAGTTCGTCGTGTTTTTTTGTGTCGTCCGTTCTTGTTGCTGCGGACAAATTACGCGTAATATCAAATCTGTATGGAATGTGTTTGTGCTTACAATGTTCCCATGTACGTTCCGCCTTCCCCTCCCTTCCCGTCCCTGCAGTTATTCACACATTTCATATCGCAGCTCAATGCTGCGATGTACGCCGAAGGTCGCAAGATCGTGTTGCTGCTCGACAACGCGAGCAGCCACATGCTCCGCTCTGAGCTCGCATGGAGCGAGATCGTCTGCGGCATGCGGACGACCTGCATGAGCAACGTGCGGCTCGTCTTCCTGCCGCTGAATACCACCGCATTCACACAGCCGCTCGATCAAGGCATCATAGCCACCGTAAAGGCCCGCTACCGACAGCATTGGCTGCGGGCCTTCTCGGCTTTGTGGAACGGCGACGGCGCGACTTCCGCCGTCGCGCGTTTCCGCCCGAACTTGTGCGATGTCCTCGCGTGGCTGTCGGACGCGTGGACCTCGGTCGGCGCGCGCACCATTCAACGGTGCTGGTGGCGCACGAAGTGTCTGCCGCTCTCGTGGTCCCTGGAGCTGACGCAGGTATACGACAATGAGCCCTCCCCCGCCGTCTACCCCAACATCGAGCTCGACGACGACATCGACGATGTCGGGACGCTTATTAGCGGGCTCGCCCTCGGGAATGCGGCGATGACGGCCGCAGAGTACGTCGCCATCGACGACGGCGAGCCAACGTGCGCCGAGGGCGCTGCGGGACAGCCCACGACTGAGCCGGAGGCGGGCCTAGAGGTGGAGCTCTGGCACGCGCCGACGACCATGCAAGCCGTCTACGACGACGCCGACCCAGTGTGCCGCGAAGCGCGGCGCACTGCACAGGCAGCATGCGAGATGCTAATCGGATATGCACGGGCCACCCGCATCACGCCGCGCGATCTGTGCCATCTGTTCGATATCCGCAACCCCATCGTAATCGCGCGGATGGAGCGGGCGAGCCCGTCATTCAACCTCAACGTGGCGCCTCAGCCCGTACCCTCCCCGGACGCAACTCCCACGCCCGAGACCCCTCGTCCGCGTGGCCGTGTGCTGCCCGGCTGGATGACCCGTCCGTCTCGCCGTCAGGAGTTGTTTGACGCCGGTGTGGGCGCCGTGATGGATGGGTATGTGGACGCGGCTGAGTGGATGCGTCTGTGAGGGGGGGGTGGAGCAGACTTCGCAAGGTGTCGAAGGCATTTTGCTGAGAGCCCAAGTGTTCACTCCTTGTGCCCATTTGTGCGTGTTTCGTTTTGTGTGTTGAATGGAGATGATGGGCCAGGTGGAGTATGTTGATTGGAAGGTGTTTGTGTTTTGACTGTTTTGTACTACGAAGAACAATTGTTGTGCATGCTTGTTTCGATACTATAGCGTTCGTTTAGTAACCCTAAACACACAACATGGACAAGTGCTGCAACCCCTTACTGTTGCGACACAGACAAACTGGGTGGTTACCATGTGCAGTTTTGAAGCACGCTGGACGCCTGACGAAATTCACGAATGCCCCGCGAAATGCATGTTTAGCTTACAGACCCAGTTCACAAGGCATCCGGGAGGGGCTCTAACGAGCATCAGGTGTATTCCCCTCTCCATAGGCAACTCCACATTCACTTTTGTCACTTTCCCAACCTCTACAATCCACCTCACCCAAGTTGGCCACACTTACGAACCCAATTTGGTTTGGCACCTCCCAACCACCTGGCAGCATCTACAGTGATGTTGACGAATTTTCCAACCCCCAAAAGTCTATACCTTTGATGGAGTCAACACCACAACTTCCCATAGTCACCACAACCAAACATCAAAAGCATACGAACTTCCAACGTTCGTAACTTTCTTGTTCGTGCTCCGATTGAAGCGATACTTGGTTCGTCGGAAAGCTTTTGAGCAGAGGAGTCACTTCAAATATCTGCTCAAGACAAATAACATTCACACACACTCAAAAAAACCAAACCACATCAAACACAAATTCTTGCACACGCTCACACCACGCATGCAACGCACGAACATGTGATGGGAGGCAGACAGACGTGAATGCAAGTGATAGCATCACATAACACAAGGCACATTACTTTGCACGAGGCTTCAGTCAGCGACAGGGAGTTGACTTCTTCTAGACCTTTTCCCCTACCCCGAAGATGACCACTCTTCGGGTGCTGCTGCACGTCGCCGCTCAGCGTGAGTACGAGCTTCACTCTCTTGACTTCAGCACTGCTTTCCTACAGGGCAGCCTGCACGAGGAGATCTGGCTACGCTGCCCACCTGGTTTCAATGGGTCGTTTCCTGCAGGTACCCAGTGGAGCCTCCGGCGGCCAGTCTACGGTCTCTGCCAAGCGTCTCGTGAGTGGCATGACATAGTGAGGACGACTCTTGCGGCTCTTGGGTTTGCTCCTTCTACTGCTGACCCGTCGTTGTTTCTACACACCGACACTTCACTGCCGCCGTTCTACATCCTCGTGTACGTCGACGACTTGGTCTTTGCCACTGCTGACACTACTGGACTGGCCCACGTGAAGTCGGAGCTGCAGAAGAGGCACACGTGCACAGACCTGGGTGAACTGCGCAGCTACCTTGGCTTGCAGATCACCCGGGACAGGGCACGGTGCACCATTACCTTGACCCAGTCACACATGGTGTGGCAGGTCCTTTAGCGCTTCGACTTCCAGTACTCCTCACCATAGTACACTCCTCTGCCTACTCGCCACTCGCTCTCAGCTCTGCCTTCGGATGAGTCCGTAGAGCCGAGTGGCCCGTATCCAGAGCTTGTGGGCTGCCTCATGTACCTGATGACCTGCACTCGACCTGACCTTGCTTACCCTCTTAGCATCCTGGCACGCTACGTTGCGCTCGGGAGACACCGACCAGAGCACTGGAAGGCCGCTAAGAGGGTGATGCGCTACTTGTGCAGTACGTCAGGCATGTGACTCGTGCTTGGAGGACGGGGTCCAGTTGTCCTCACTTGTTACGCAGACGCTTCTTGGGTTGACGACTTGGCTATGCAGCAGTCGTCACAGGGTTACACCTTCAGCCTTGGCTCTGGTTCTGTGTCGTGGCGATCTACCCGCTCGTCTTCTGTTCTTAGCTCCAGTTGTGAGGCTGAGATCTACGCATGGGCCATGGCTGCACAAGAGTTACGCTGGCTCACCTACCTGCTGGCCGACTTGGGAGAGCCGCCTCGTTCTCCTCCAGTTCTATACGTCGACAACAAGGCCATGATTGCCTTGTCTCAAGAGCACAGACTGGAGCACAGAACGAAGCACATAGCTCTGCGCTACTTCCTTTCTCGAGAGTTGCAGCAGCGTGGTCAGCTTCATCTTGCTTACGTGGTCTCTCAGGCCAACACTGCTGATATCTTCACCAAGGCACTTCTGCCTTGTGATCATCAGCGTTTCTGTACTGTTTTAGGCCTTGTGCCTACCTGGCCTCACTTGCTCACTTCTTGACTTTGCTTGTACTGTGATCTATATACGTATGCCTGCATGCTTACACTTGCTAGGTTGTGATCACTGTATTGCTTGTTCTCCTTTATATAACTCTCCATGTGAACTGGCCTTGTGGCCATTTTCTTGTGCTGAGATTTTGTGGCGGCTTTGTGATCCACCGTGAGCTTGCTTTGCCTTTCTTGACTGGTCTTGTGACCTCTTGTTCCCCCCCACTTTGCCTATGGGGGTCTGTCAAACTATGTGTTGATTGTTGTGTAGGCTGTAGTGGGGTAGCCCATATGGGGTACAACCCAAATTAGGGTTTGCTACTTGTACCCATCCTGCTGCTAGTTCATTCATCCCTGTTCATTATTCTGACACATTGTTAGGGTGCACCATTTGATGCTTGCTGATTCATTGGTGAAATTTCCAAGTCCTGTAAAGCTGGTGCGAGTTGCACAACCAAGACTGGCGAAGCCAACCCATTACGGACAATCACTTGGGCGATTAGTGACCCTGCGCTTTCCACGGAACTACAGTGCTAGTTACGCGCACTTTCCGCCCCTCTGACCCTCAGACAGGAAAGTTATGGAAACAGCACAGAACTCGGTCCCACATTCACCCACGTGTCACAAATTCTTTTTTTTTTTTTGAAAATGCAGGGCAGGAAAAAAGAAAGGGAGTATGGACTCATTTTCGAGAGAGATCAACCCTAAACGCGGGAACCCACATTTTTTTCGGGTTGATGCCTCTCCAAGACGCATCCCTTTCTAATTGGGTTTTAGTTTTTTTTTTTCGGTCAGGTGAAGGGGTTTTTTTCCTGTGGCTTGCAAATTTGTGACATGTGGGTGATTGTGGAATCGAGTTATGTGCTGTTGCATTAATTTACATGTCGGAGGGACGGAGGGGCGGAAGTGTCCGCAACTAGCAATGTAGTTCCCTAGAGAGCGCAGAGTCGCCAGTAGTACCACCGCCAAAGCTACTTACCCAATAATGGAAGTGTCATTGAACAATGAAGGCACACGCTAATGTAGTGGCCAGCCTAGCTAGGAGGGAACCTCGGTTGAGCTAGGTTGGGTGCAGGTTTGGCGAAGGGAAACACCGAAGGCGACGCGAGGAGCCTCGGCATCGTTGATGTCGGCCAAACGTGCAGAGTTCAAAAATTGGGTTGTACGTGAAGCAGTCAACCCCGATAAGGAATTCGGGATAATTCCTTACACTACCCCCCCCCCCCCCCCCCCCCCCCTTAAGAAATGTGGTCAATATCCGCAGCTCGCTTGCGGGCAAGATAATCACTAATAAGCGGGGATGCTTCAAGCAAGTTGGATGACACCCACATGTCGTCTTCACTGGTGCAGTCAGTCTAACGGATTTAAAAATCCACGTGGCGACCAGCTCCGTCCAGCCGTACACGATACGCCAACATTTTGGACGGGTCAAGCGTCGGTTCTAGTGTAATCGTAGTAGGCACCGTCGGGTCCATCCCGTAATTCAAGAAGAGCGGGGAGTGATTAGTCGCGCTAGACGGGGCGTTGTTGAATGCAAACTCCAGCATGGCGAGCGATTCTTCCCAGCGAGCGGGGTCGGAGCGGTTTGTCATTATTAGCCGCTCCATGGTTTGATTGGTCCGCTCTGTCTGGCCGTCAGTTTGCGGGTGGTATGCCGAGGAGAACTGTAGCTTCCTGCCGTACTGCGCCCACGTCTCCTTCCAAGATTTCGACGTGAAATTCAGATCTTGGTCGATGATGATCGCCGGGGGGATGCCGTGCAGTCACACGACCGTTGAAATAAAGAGGCGCGCAGTATCTTCGGCTGTGATTGTTGTACGACTCGGTGCGAAGTGCGCCATTTTCGTGAGGCGATTGACGACGACGAGAACATTATCGTTGCCAGACGGTCCAGCTGGCAGCCCCGTGACGAAATCCATCGTCACCTATTGCCACGGTTGTTCGGGTGGCTTGAGGGGTTGCAGCAATCCAGCCGGCCGTTGACGTGTTGATTTCATGGCTTGGCACACCCTGCATGAGGACGCACCTATCGCTGCACGTCGCTAGAGGAGTCATGCCAATAGTATTGACGGGGCAACAATTTCAGGGTTTTATCAACCCTGAAATGCCAGGAGAAGTTGGAATCGTGGACCTCTTGGATAAGGAGGTCGCGCATTAGCCGGTAAGCGGGAACCCAAATCCGGTCAGTTCTGACCTTTAGGTAGTAATCCCCTTTCTGCGTCGTAGCCTGCTGATGATTTCCAGTCGTGAAGAACGGGTCCGTAGTGTAGCCGTGGGTGAATAGTCCAGTAAGTAATGGGTTTGAATGGGAGATGAGTACTGCAGCGGATTGAACGGTCGGTCGGGTCAGGGCATCGGCGATGTTATTCGCCCCTTTCTAGTACGTGATGCAGTAGGTGAAATGGCCCTCCATCTCGTGGGTTGAGGTTGGGATGGGCTCGCAGGTACTGTAGGGACTTGTGGTCCGTGCGAACAGTGAAGTCGACGCCCACCAAGTTGTTATAGTCATAGTAGGCTCCAATGTGCCTAAAACGAAAGATAGAGTGCACAGTCGGATTTCTGCACAGCGGCTTCAAACGTTCATATCGTTCTGGTCACAGCTTCAAATGACTTGATTCAACTTGGATCTGGAGCTTCTTATTGTCGCCTACAATAGGAAATTTAGATCGCACGATTTAACCAAGTATTGACGACACAGCGTTGGTTTGAACGAACGGCACTATGGCAGCCA